ACCTCTTTATGATTTAAAATTAAAGCTGTGCATATATTCTTTCTGATTGGTTTTTCTGATTTCTTGGGATTTATTTCTAGAAGTGGGATTACTGAGTCAAATGGGAGTTCCATTTTTAAGATTTTGAAGAAACTCCATATTGTTTTCCACAGAAGCTGCCCCTATGTTCATAGCAGCGCGATTTACAATAGCTACTAGTAAGATTTGGAAACAGCCTAAGTGCCCATCAGCAGATGAGTGGATTAAAAAACTGGTACATCTACACAAATGGAATACTACATAGCTGTAAGAAAAAAATAATTCTTACCATTAGCAATAGCATGGGTGGACCTGGAGAGCATTATGCTAAGCAAAATAAGCCAGTAAGAGAAAGATAAGTATCATATGATCTCACTCATTTGTAAAATCTAATGAACAACATAAACTGATGAACTAAAATAGGTCCAGAGACATAGAAGCATAGAATAGACCATCAAACCTCAGAGGGCAGGCAGGAGAGGTTCTGCAGGGGTGGGAGTTAGAGATCAACCAAAGAACTTGTATGCATATAAGCACAACCAAAGGACATAGACAATAGGGGGGTGGAGGCCTGGCCTGGGCTGGGTGAGGTGAATGGGAGAAAAAGGGGACATATGTAATACTTTCAACAATAAAGAATTAAAAAATTTAAAGCTGGGTTTGCTATATGTGCAATCTTTGAAAGAATTTGTAAACTTCCTGCCCCCAGAATTAAAGGATTAAGAACACTTAAAAAATTATTTCTTAAAATATAAAAATAAAAGTGATTATACTAATGAGATAAATCAGAAACTGACACAGAGATTCTTCCAACTCACATTGTCTTTTCTGAATTATAAATATAATAGTCTATCAATTTATCTTTAATAAAGAAACATTAAATTTTTAAAAGTATGTAAAATATCAAATCAGTTTGCTACTTTTAATACCTATATGCCAGATGTAAAAACAATTACAGTGCTTGAAAGTACTATTATATATTTCTATATGCCTACATATCCATATGTGTGTATCTATATCCTTGCCTACTAGTATATCTATATCTATATCAGTACCGATATCTATATCTATGGAGAGAGAAGGTGAGATTAATTTATTTCAAGGAATTAGCTCACACAATTATCTGACAAGTGGCAGGATAGAGACCCAGGGAAGAGTTGATGCTGCAGTAGGAGTCAAAAAGCAGCTGGCCAGCAGCTAGCAGCATTCCCTCCTCCTTGGGAAACTGCAAGTTTTCTACTAAGGCTTTCAGCTGATTGGATGAGGTCCAACCCTATTATGGAGGGCAATCAGCTTTATTAAAAGTCTACTATTAAAGTATTAATCTCATCTAAAAATACTTTAACAGCAATGTCCAGATGTTTGAACAAATATGTGGGTACTGTGGCCTAGTGAAGTTAAGACATAAAATTAACCATCACAAAACATCAACCTCAAGTTGTTCTTTAGCATTTTCCCCTTTTCTTCCTAAAGAGGGCCAATACTCTTTCATTGCCTAAACTAGAAAATCTCTTCTTTTTTCTTTTCCCATTAATTCCTCCTTTCTTTTCTCCATCTTTTCCCTTTACCCATAATATCCAAGAAATTAGTAAGTCCCCACAATGTCAACTCTTCCAAAATGATAACCAGAAACACATTTTTATTAAGCCAAAATGAATTTATTAGGCTTACTAATAAATTTCATTAGCTACTTACTAATTAACTATAGCAAGAGAGAACTCCACCTTGAAAAATCTCAATAGTGTCTCAGAAGAGGCAAGTTAGGGAAAGGTATTTAGATAGTCTGTAGTCTAGGTCCAAATGGTGTTAGGTGAGTTTTTCAAGATGAGGAATTGGTTGGAATTTGGCAAAATTCATGATGTAATACTTTAGAGATTGGTGGACTCAATATAGGAAACTTTTGAGTTTTAAAAAGCAAATTGGTGTCTGAGAAGCAGGATGTTTGCCCAGGGGAGCCAGATGCTATCCTAATGAGAGGGCTGTTTGCCCAGATGAGCAAACTGCTAATACATTTATTTGCAAGGACTTTACAAACATTGAAAGTAATTATTGGTCTACAGCATTACCTTCCTAGTAAAGAATTTCCTGGAATAAATGGTTAAGTCATGTTGACACAATGGGTCTTGGTTCTCAGTTCATTCTCGTCCTCTTTGTATTCTCTTTCTTTTCAGCCCTTCAGACATTATCTGCATTACTTCTTTCTCTTCCCTGGATGCTTAAAATTGTTTATGTTTATGTATAGTCTTCTAACCTCTCATTCAAACATACTTTCACAATGTTTTCTCTAATTTGTTAGAATACAATCTAAATTACAAATCTTCTACTGCAGTTCTCATAGTAAAAATTCTTTAATGTTTCTGGTTTCAAAGTCACAAAATAGCATAAAAGTCCAAGCTTATTGCTTCACCTTGGTTTATTTCTTCAATGTCTTCCCTAGCTAAACATCTACATATAATCGTTGCCCTAAACATAACAAATTTAGAATATTCTGAATCTCTCCTTGATAATTTCAGGCAGATTTGATTTTGGGATCCCCCTAGTTTTCCCTGAAATAATGCCTTCTTTTTTCACCTCAATCACTGCTAATTCCTCAAAATCTAGTGTAAGCATCTCACTTCTTCTGAAGCATTTTCAATAAACACTATCAGAGTTGATCAACCCACTGTTCTACATTGCATCTAGACTCCAGCTCTTAGATGCTATTATTTATGTTTATATTTATTTTACCCTTTTAGACTGATAGCATCCTGATGGCAGGATGAGCATGTTTCTCTCAATGTGGTCACTCTAGCATGTAACTTGTCAAAGAGTAGGCACAAAATATTTGTTGAATAAGATTTCATTGGGATAATTATAGAAAGGGACTTAATTTAATAGAATCAATAACTTTTCTTTTAGGAAGTCTCTATAAACATTTATCAGTAACAAAATAGTGTAGATATCTGCCATCATATGCTAGGATCTAAAGTGATCAAATCTATTCATGACATTCACTTCTCAAGGTCTATAATTTTATGATGTCATAATTCAGATTTCCATTTCATATTGGAAAATAAAATAGAAAACAGGTGTTTCAATATGTTGCATAACACAGTATTCTTCCCAAAAGAAAAATCTCCCTAGGTGTAGAAGAGGTTTAGCCTGTTCTTTCAAGAAATAAAAGCTAAATTCTGAAGCATACTCATAAATTCTGATATAAACTTCAAATATTTTATTAGTTATAGTGTTAGATTCCTAATTGCATGTTCATGTAATCTAAAAATATAAATTACATTCATACACAATTGTTCAATCTATATCATGTAGCATTTAATACATTTCAGAGCTGTGATTCTGTGGTTTGCAAAATTTGTCTATTAAGAAAACACCTTGCCAAAACAGGTTTGGCTCAGTGGATAGAGCGTCGGCCTGCAGACTGAAGGGTCCCGGGTTCGATTCCGGTCAGGGGCATGTACCTGGGTTGCGGGCATATCCCCAGTAGGAGATGTGCAGGAGGCAGCTCATCGATGTTTCTAACTCTCTATCTCTCTCCCTTCTTCTCTGTAAAAAATCAATAAAATATATTTTAAAAAGAAGAAAAAAAAAAGAAAACACCTAAAAATTTTTACAGAAGTAATCCTTCGATACACTTATTTAGCGGTGTGTGTGTGTGTGTGTGTGTGTGTGTGTGTGTGTGTGTGTCTATGTGACTGTGTCTATATGTGTATGTGTATTGATGTTGGATGTAGGCTAACAAATATTTGTGAGTTACAAACATGCAAAAGATGTTTGACCTAAAATGAGAAAATTAAGCCTGGTTATAATCCTTTTGAAATATCAGGGATTTCTTTATGTATGTGTTAACCTTAAACTTTCTTCACTGCTATCTCACATTTTAAAACATACTTTGAAAAACACACTCCAGTTATTTACCAGGCATCAGAGAACTGAATTCATTTAAAGAAAAGAAAAGGCAGAGTCTAAAAAGATTAGTTGTAAGGTTTTCTAGCAATTCAGTCCTGCTTTCATTGGGATCTCCATGAGAGTGATGAAAGTAAGATGGGAAAACAAGTAATGCATTTTACTCCTTGGAGATTGCAAGAGAAGGATGTGTTAACTATGAATTTCAGTTTTTGATTTGTAATACTGTCATAACACCTTCAGCATTCACCAAAATAAAAAATAAAAATTTAACTTTGAGGGAAAATGATAACTTTATTTTAGATAATATGAATCTGAAATGGCAAGCATTCTGCATTAGAGATTTTCTATTATCAAAAGTGAAAGTGAGATTTAAGGTTAACTAGTAATAGTAGCACATTCAGAAATTATTGCTATAAATGGAAAGTTTGACAGAATGGTAGATTATTTCTCACAGGAAGTAGAACAGACCAGGGCTTTGGTCTTACAAGATAAGATGTCCAGGACTGGAATCAAGATGAGGAGTAATTATTAAAGAAATAAAGAAGCATTCAGGTGGGCAAAGAAACAGGATAGTGAATTGAAATATTAATATATTAATATTTAGGAATTAAGACAAACTCAGTTCAGAATTGTGTGAAATAAGGAATATGTGTAAATTTTTATAGCACTTAAGACTTCTATCTCATATTTCTATGAGATGAGACCTTGAAAAATGATTCACATTAGGGAACACAGGATAAAGATAAATCACAAAGCTTTTATAAATCATGCCATTTCCCAATATTCCACAAAAGCAGAAACTAAATTCAAAGCCAACTAGATGGAAAATGTTACAGAAGGGTAAAAGTGTTAATGTGTAATGATGAAAATAGTCAAGTCTGATTCGTATTATCTCAGGAACATAGTGAATTTCTACACTATCGAAGCCAATGTTTTCTGGCTGAACTATTTTACTAGAAAACATGATATTCATATTTGTATATTGAAATAAAATGGGTTATTTAAAATGTGATAGAGTGGAAGAAAAACTCATGGACTTTCTTCTCTAAGTCTGACCAAATTATTATTATAATTATTATTTTAATATGGAATGCTTCAGGAGTTTGCCTGTCATCTTTGTTCAGGGGCCATGTTGCTATTCTCTGTATCATTCCAATTTTAGTATATGTGCTGCCGAAGCGAGCACTGACCAAATTATTGACAAGCAATCAGAAATTGTTGGTCTAAAAACAATTGGTCAATAAAAGAGAAAGTGATCTGAAAACCAAAGAAGTATAAAATTGACAAAGTTGACAACTGCTACATAAAAATTCTGCTCTAAAAAGTTAGTTAATTCCACAACTATATCAACTATCATTTATTGAGCACTTACTGTATATAAGACACTTTGCTAGGCACAGCATTTCTTAAAGTAACATTTAATTCACAGACTCTGTCACCAAGACATTTATAGTCATGTAGAAAAATAAGTCAAAAACATTTATAAATGTCAAATTTTAAAGGAAGTTTAGTGAGTGAACATCTATTAAAATTATTTTTGGAGTCTCAAAAATATGAAATAGACCCTTAATTGATAGCATAATTGGGCTTATTTTGTATATATTCTACTTCTCATTAAGAGCTTTTGAAAATAAATTATGAGATAATGGTATTAATAATACTAAAAATAGCAATATGATATCTATTCCAAGATGACACATGCTTAATTCCTAAGGCAGTAATAGAAAAAATAGTCTTATTAATTTTGGAAAGGAAAGCATAATGAAAAACAACAACTTCAGTGCACTGATGAAGATATTGTTTTGGGTCATCATTGAATTGGCTAAAATGTAAAATTGTACCTTTCAAATTTATTACTGTTTGTTGTTAAATTTTGAATAAAGCTAATATGAAAAATTAAATCAACACATAAAATGGAATTGAAAATAAAGGGTCTATCATTAAGTCAGTTCCACCTTTCACCATGAATACAAAGATTTTTATGCAGACAGAAGTTTCATACAATAGTATCTGAAACAGTCTTTCACACACAAAAGCCATCATCGTCATTCAAGATGTGCCTTTTGTCCCAATAAATTAGATAGTAAGCCTAGCCACATGCCTTATGCCCCATTATACTTGCTCTATACCAAACACTATTTGGTATTTAAGGAGCTTTTTTATGATGAATGAAATGTGTTTATCAATTCTCATTCATTTTAATGAAGTAGATTCCATTTCTGGAAGGTTTTTGCAAAGCTCACAATCTTTTTAGGCATCTGGAGAGAGTGACTCGTGGAGAAATTGAAAAATATGATAGAAGTATTACCAAACATTCTGTCTCACTGGGGTCAGAACTTTTTTCTAATCTGCACAGTACATACCAAACAGATGGAGTGTGAAAACAAATCTTTGCTGTGGGTGGCCTTATCTTTTCAGCCATAACAATCCATACGTACCAACCAAAAATATGTATCCAATAAATCCTCTGAAAAAGACATTGCAGGATTTTTTTCAAAATATTTGTCTAATTTCTTTCTAGTATTCAATCCCTTTTCAAAATAATCTAATTTCTGAAAATTAATTATTGTTTTAAAAAAGAAATGATTGTGCCAACAATTCAGTGTTATTTAATTACTGAACGCACTTTCATCTAAGGGTCCAATGACAGGGGAATAATTAAGAAATTTATAATTAATTAAATTGATAAACTCTTACTCAGGCAACTGTCAGAATTAGGGTCATGTAGAAAAATGGAAAAGTGTTTATGATGTAACATTTTGTGGGGAGAAGTAAACATATGTCTCTATGTATGTTGTGATTATTACTGAAAAATACGCAAGGAATTACAGGAAGGCTAGTATTGAGTATAAAGAAAACATGCTCCGTTGCTGGGTTCAGCATAATTTTCTTCTTTAGAAACCTAGTTTATGTTGCTGTAATTCTCTCTGTCCTATAATCAAAACTTGAGCTAAATTGCTTTTTGTTGTTTTAGGAAGTACTTGTCTTTTGCCTCAACTCCTTTGTTCTTTTTCTGGTCTCCGCTGCTGTACCACCGTGAGCTGACCTCCGTCAAGTGAGTAACACGTGAGAGGATTGTGTGAGTCTGTTAACACTGTCTTCCAACTGAACGTTTTGATTACTGAGTTGTCTTTTTCAAGAGCTCTAGTTCATCAAAATGTTTTGCAAAGACTACCTGTCACAAACAATTAAAATATTTAATGCCTCAGGAAATTTCATTGTAATTTGCAAAAGGCAGTTACAAGAAAGAACAGATCTCATATGAATTTTTTATTATAAGACTGATAAATGTCTATGAAACTATCATCTCCTATGTAGTTGCTCTTCTTATGGCCTTCAGGTATAACAATTCAATAATTTATTTAGTGAATGATGTTTGCAAAATTCTGTGATACACATTAAAAGAAATATGAAATAATATCAAGATTTTGTATTAATTTAATTTTGTTTACCATTAGTAAATCAATCCAGCCTAGTCGGTGTGGTTCAGTGGTTGAGCGTCCACCCATGAATCAAGAGGTCTGCGGTTCTGTTCCTAGTCAGGGCACATGCCAGGGTTGCAGGCTGGATCCCCGGGGTGGGGTGGGGGTGGGGGCATGCAGGAGGCAGGCAATCGATGTTTCTCTCTCATGGATGTTTCTATCTCTCTCTCTTTGCCTTCCTCTCTCTCTCAAATCAATAAAAATATTTTAAAAATCCATCCACATTTTCTTTTTCAAGCAATTTTTTTTTCAAATATGTGAAGAAAATGTTACCTAGATGCTTATTTATCTCACATAAATGGACTGGCATGTAATTAAACTAAGATTAGAATACATATCAGTCCTTTCATTCTAGCATGTTCATGATTCCTCCCCTCAACCTCCCCCCCTGCAAATATACAGAAACTGTGGTTGTCCCATGACCTTTGCCCACTGGTGTTAGTCTCATGAATCCCATGGATATGTTATGTTATATGGCAAAAGAGATGAGATATAATTTAAATTAATAATCTATTAATCATAAAACAGGAAGACTGTGGATTACCAATGGTCCTAATATAATCACATGATACCCTTAAAGGTAGAGATCTTTCCCTGGCCAGCAGCAGAAGGCAACTGAGAGATTAAAAGCATGAGAAGGACTAGAACTGTTGTTGCTCATTTGAAGGTAAAGAGGACAACTTGCAAATCATGAGAAGGAAATGAATTGTGTCAACAGTAAGTGAGTTTGGAGGTGGACTTACAAACCTAGATGAAAATTGCATTTCTCCCTGACACGTTGATTTTAGGCTGGTGAGACCCTGAACAGAGAATCCAGTCAAGCTTCTTCAAACTTCCAACCCACAGTGGTGTGAGACAATAAATGGGTGTAGTTTAAAACTATCACATTTTTGACACATTTTTGTAATGACATCAATAGGAGTTAATACCGTACCTGTCCTCTGGTGCTTTCCTGGGTAAAATTGGAAGACAGACAAATGTATACAGTTTAATTGAATGAATTTCTAACTTCTTTTTCTCCATGCTTCTCTATGCATCTTCCTCTTGTTTTCCTCTCTCCCTGAAGCCATCCAAAGAGACTAGCTATCTTATAGCCCCCTAATAAGGACAGTTCTTTGAAGACAAAGGCACATGTAGAAGATCAACCCATCAAAATCCTTTTTTCTTTGGCTGACACTAAAGAGAAAAGTAGGAAGGATTTCCATTTCAAATTTGGATACATGAAGAAACAGCTCAAAAGTAATGAATTTTAAATGGTAACATTTTCATCATTCTGATAGATGAAAATACAGGGTGCCCCCAAAAATGTATACACACTTTGAATGATTATAAAGTCAAGGTTTATTAACATATAGTTCATTTTCAAAATTTAAAGAATCTACAGAAATGAATAACTTTTTGCTGTTGTTGTTAATGCCTGTTTTCAGATTGGTTTTTGGTCCAGGCATTGCTGATAATGCGAAGTCATGGAATTGCAAACTACAAGAATCATTCGTCAGCCCTAAACATAATACTTGAATCATTAAAAACAAGACATCAATTCATGTAGCGCCTTCTTCCAGAGTTCAAAGTATTATGTTTAGGGCTTAAACAATAGCAATATTGTTAGTCATGTTGGAAGTAAGTGTCAATTTGATGCATATTTACAGCTCTCTTCTCGGCCAGGCCTTGATCATTCATCCAATCATGGTACCTGAGGACTGAATGGTTGTTTGTTTTCTGTGTTTCTGCCCATAGTGTTTTTATTCTGAATGTTCCCCAGAGGCTGGGGTTTAGCAAAAAAAGTGCAGTGGTACTTAGGATAAATTTTAATTGTTCAAATATTCATCTGGCTTCACCCATTATTTCAAATCAGTTAAACCTGAAAAGGAGTGAAAATTAAGTGAGTTATCAGCTGCTAAAGTGTATTTATATTTTTGGAGGGCACCCTATATAATAGTGAGTCATCCCCAAAGTGCCTTAAAATGCCCATGGACCTGCAAAATCAGGAGCATCTTGAAACGTGTTAGAAATACAGAATCCAAGTCTCTATCCCAGAACTATAAAATCAGAATCTACATTTGAACAAGATCATCAGGTCATGCATAATAAAGTTTGAGACTCTCTGCCTTAAATTGTAGTAAATGGATGAATATTTCTTCAAAATTTAGAAGACTGCCCCTGCTAATAGCATCCTCTCAAGGAAGCAAGGCTATGCAGAGAATTAGGAGATCCCCTCAGGTTCAATTTCAGACTTATTGTTTACATATTGAGCATTTATTTTGTTCTAGAGGTTGTTTTACAGGTTTATATTAATTATGCCAATTACATTTCATGACTAATATGAGGTAATTATTATTATCCATATTTAACCTAGAAATAAGCTAAATTTTGAAGTAAGAGATCAATTGCTTTGTCTGTGTCCATTTGGAATAAGGCAGGCTGATATCTTAGCACTCGGATAAGTGACCTTAGCCCCTACAACATGGCATGTTTTATTAAGCTTTCAAGTAAATTCTAAATTGTCAAACTATCAAATGTATCAAAAGCTAAAGTTTCGTTTTTCAATTTCTATCCTATACCATCTGAAAATCCAAACAAAAACAAAATTGTAAATAGTCCAAGATCCTTTACTTTTATTTTAGAATTTTTGTGAGTTTATTTGAGCCAAACTGTCGACATTTGCCAGGAAGCAGAACCTCAAGGAATTGAGATAATGCTCCGGAGAATGGCGGGGTTACATTTGTATTTATACATTTGCAATCAAAGGAGGGACATAAGTGGGTTACATGAAATTCATTGGTGATAGATTAAGGAGGAGGGATAAAGCAAAGCATGGAAATCCCTGGGATTGGATAAAAGTAAAATGATGGACACATACTTAGGTGGGTGCAGGATCAATTAACATAACAATGAAGGGATTTGTGGTATCTGTCCTAGCGCCCAGCACATTTGGTTGTGCCCCAGAGGCTCCAGAAAAAGGGAAGTTACAAGTTACCCAGACATTTCAACGGTGTGTTATCATAGATGCAAAAAGACAGATAGGCTCAGTTAAGGTAAAGGTTGACCTTGTCAGTGAAGATACTGGCCTAGGACGTAACTGCCCACCATAACCGCTCTGAGTTAAAGTTTAATTTCAGACCATCCTTTGTGGTTACTTTAGGTCTCTCAGACTGCCATGCAGGCCTCCCCTGAGCTTGTCAGGTCAGCATGTGGCCCCTTTCGTTCACAATTACCTTCCCTCCATTAAGAGGTCCATAAAAAGGAGCCAACTGAGATCCACAAGGGAAGTCAGCAGGAGCCATGTTTGTTTTCCCCACCCCCTGTGATAGGGTTTTGCTGAGGGGCCACTGCTAGGTCCCCACTTGCTCCTCTCCCTTTGGCCTGAGATGGCAGGGCAGTACAGGGGCTTCGAAGGAGCAGGTCACGACTCCTCATTCCCAGAATCATCATGGTCATCACAGTCAGCATCTTCCTCCTCCTCCTCCTCCTCCTCCTCTTCATCCTCAATGTCAAGGTCGTACAAGTCGTCATAAAGCCAATCTGAGCTGTTGTCATTGGAAGGCACTTTAGTTTTGATGCAATATTCTGCCAGGGTCGTGGGTACTTTCACTCCATCCTTTTCTGCTTCGGCTTTAGTGGCTGAAACCTGTTTTCCAATGATTTCAGCATATTCTTTGTCTTTTCCTTTACTGTCCCTCCATTCCCTGAACATAACTGAAGCATCCGCATTGGCTGCGGAGAAGATGTTGGGCTCATTAAGCAATGAGATTACACTTAACAGGATAGTCCTGACATTCTGAGTAGGATTCCACCTTTCGGAGTTCAGTTGACCACTCTGTGGGGCATCTACGGGTGGATGAAGAATTGAAATGCATACATGTCCACTCTCATAAATGTTGGGGTGCCACATTTTGGTCAAGAACCTGAAGGTAGGTGGTGAATATGGGTAGTCAATAGGAAATTTAATATGCGCCTTGAAGTAGCCGCCTTCGTAGAGGGTGTTGGGGGGTCCGAAGATGGCAACCTCCCAGTTGTAGAGGTCGGACTCATCCACCAGGGTGATCCGGGAACCCTCCACCGGCTCTTCCTGCAGGGACTTCAGCTCCAGCATCAGGGCCTTCTGGGAGCTGGCCATTGCAGCGCTGGCGGTGGCGGTGGCGGTGGCGGCGCCTGGCCGGGGCCCTAGTCCTCACACACCAGCCGAGCCTGACCAGGCCCCTCCCCTCGGCTCGCCCTCGGCCGAGGCCGCACGTGGCCCTGGTCTTCACACACCAGGCGGGCCGGACCAGGCCCAAGACAACCTTGGGCTGGCCCGGGTGCTCCTCACACACGATGCGGGCCGGACAGGGCCGGGCCTTCTCCTCACAAGGGGGCCAGGTGCAGGGAGAGGGTGAAGGAGTTAGGGGAATTCACTCCCGGTCCTCCCCGCCCTGGAGGTGGCCTCCACTTGGGGGAGAGAGGAGAAAAGGTGGAAGCTGAGAAAGGCAAGGCGGCAGAGGGCTGTCGATGATGAGGAGAGGGGGCCAGGCCCGCCCGGGAGCACCACGCTCGCTCGCCCTCTCGTTCTTCTCTGGGGCCGCCGCGGCCGCTGTTTCTCTTTAGAATAGTGCAAATGGGCAATCATGCACTCACCTAAGGAGCAGATCCAGGGCTTTCCCTAGCAGGAAAAATAGGAAGAGGTCAGCTCAAGGATCAAGCCTTGATGTGTGGTTGCAGTCTCTTCCAGAAGTCTCCCCAGCCAGGTGAGTTCCCAAGACACTCTGTTCTGGAGAAGGTTCCAAGTTCTGTGTTTTATTGTCTTGTTACATCTGTATTTATACCAGTTGATTTTAATCCTATCAATCTCTATTCCAAAGGTTAGGGCGTTTCTTATCTCCATTCCAGGGAGCAAAGATTATGTAGCTTAAGCGTGATTGTCCGTAGTTAAAGTGATTAACTACCCGCCTGGCACTTAGTTAAGGGGTTTTATTCCCTCCCTAACTTCAGGGGAAAATCCCTACCTGGGGAAACAACCTTTCTGGGAGAGGTGACCTTGGTTAAAACACATAGTGCCAAGAAGGGGAGCAAACATATTAAGAACAGTACGCCATATATGCCAGGTCCCTTGAAACATATGCTGTGCAGATGTTTCTTCCCTGCAGCGACTATGTCAAGCAGCAAGGATGGACCAGCTTCCAGCACTTTTTCTTCTATTTTCTTCCTTGCTCAGGGTTTGCTGTAGGTCTAATGACTCTCTGGGCAGCTTTCTTCCACATGATGGCTCAGCATTCCAGGCTCTTTTATCTTAGACATCTACAACTCAACAAATGATAACCTGTAGGCAGAGGTAACTTTGATTCCTCATTGCCCTTTCTTGTGAGTGTACTGAACTTGTTCATCAAGCTGCAGGCAGGGTGGAGTGGTAGAGCGCTGATGCTGTCATTGGAGGCTGTTGCTAACCGCACCCATCGAGCTCACTGCTGCACACACGCTCTCCGGAGTTCCCGGCCACGGAAAGCATTTCTGCCTCGAGCTCAGCCCACTGGCTACGACTGCTCTCCCCCTCCCCCGCTCCCTTCCGCCTCCTTTCCGCAGTGAACCGCTACTTCCTCTGGAAGCATGTGAGCAGGAGCGGTAGCGACCTCAGCCTCGAAGCTCTTTGCGTCCTCGCTGGCTTTTCCTCGCCCGAACTATGCCTGACTCCCTTACCGGAGTCGGGTACGAGAGCGCGCAGCGCTCGGAAGCCAAGGCCCGGGCCACCGGGTCCTACATTTTGTTTTTGTATGAATCGTTACAACAAACAAATAAACAAAAGACTTTGTGGTTTCATGTAAATGACCTTGCTGTCCTGGTTTAAATAAACTCTTTAGACAAACACTTTTTTTTCTTCATATGTTTCATCTGAAGGAAAAGAAAAAATATAGTTCATGAAATAATTTAAATATATTCATTGAGTCACATATTACATTAATAATTTTTTGTTATATATAAGATGACTGATATTTTTATTAAGCACTTATGCACCAGATTTTTAAAAACCTTCATAGGAATTAAATTGTTCAATTATTTTTGCACACTTGTGAATTGTTAGCTATGATTGTCCCCATTTTACTGATAAGTAAGTTGAGATTTAGATTTTTTATTTATTTTTTTATTTTCCAAAGAGAACATTTTAATGCCAGAATTTCAATTCATGCTTGTCTGCCAATGAAAATTATTCATGGAGCAATCCATGTTTCAATATTTGACTTCACAATGATTTTAATCAAGTAGAGGCCATGGCTTTTAAAATTGCAGTTGTAAAATGAAGAAAGTCTTTTGGGAATTAAAAAAGTAACGTTTAATTTTATCAAATTAAAGCACAATCCTTAAAAATGAACAGAGCAAAAAATTGAAGGAAAAATAAAAATATAAAAAGAAATTAATAATCCTAAATTCATAGGTTAATTATGAGAAAAAAAACTTAATGCATGCAAAACATTTAGAATAGGACCTGGAATATGGTAAGCCTTTAATACATACTTTACCTTCGTTGATGTTGTTATTATTACTACCAATGTGCCATCCTCAGTATGTCTACCATACCTATCTCATTACTGATGATATGTACATCAACCCTCCCTGTTACATAGTATATGTTCTAAATTAGATAATTTCCTTCTCCTCTACTTAAATAAAAATTTGAATAGATATAAATAATAATATCAGCATGTGTTTAAATAACAAAATAATTAATATGGTATCTAAATGTATCCCTATTTACATCATTTTAATTTTTAAGTAAATTCTTATTTATTATAAATGTGATTTTTAGGCAAATAACAATTACAAAATATAAATGATATTGTTAATATAATGCCAGTGATTATTCCCTGCATCTGTAAAATAAATTAGTTTTTATAAGACATATTTCCAAAAATAATAATAAAAATTAGTAAATATAATATGCATTTAAAACTCAAAGATACTGATAATTCCCTCTATCTTGAGCATTTAATTCTTTTTATTGAGAGGAAAATCCCAAAATGTAATTTAATAATAATGATCATTTTAGGTTAATGTGAGTTTCTGAGTGATTTATTTAGTTTGGTGTTTGAAGGCAGCAAAGACAGAGTTAAAGAAAAGCTATGGTGGACTGAAATACAACAGCTTTGTGGAAAAATGCATATTTACATGACGGAATGTAATATGTTTTCATGTAGACGCTACACAAGTAAAAGCTCCCCGCGGGTGCATCGCTAACCTTCCTTTACACACTAATGCTTGGAGACAGCTCTCTTTTCCTTATCGTTTTAAATTACCAAAAAGGATCTTAAAGGGTTTTACTGCCTTAGCTCTCTGGAAGGAGAGACATTTATTAGTGTCAGTTAATGTTTACATAGGCATTTAAATTTTTTAAATGAATACATTTAATGACAGATATTAATAATACCATTGGCGACATGAAAATTTTGAGTGTCATATAAAAAACTGAAATTCGAAAAAATAACAAATTTTGACAGGGCTTATATGTGAGTACATATGAAATTATCATTTCATGCTCACAGATAACTGAATTTGAATAAAGGGGGAATTTGAACATGGCAGGCATTTCTATGGTTCCAGCAAACGATCCAGAAATAGTCCCTTTATTATTTTTTATTTTTTTTTAAATATGTTTTTATTGATTTCAGAGAGAGGAAGAGAAAGTTGGAGATATCAATAATGAGAGAGATTCCTGGATTGGCTGCCTACTGCAAGCTCCCTACTGGAGATCTAGCCTGAAACAGAGGCTTTGTGCCCTGACTGGGAATCGAATCGTGGCTTCCTGGTTCATGGGTCATCACCCAACCATTGAGCAACACCAGCCAGGCTAGAAATAGTCACTTTAGATATAAGTTTTTAACAACTAAAATCCTTGAAAACAAAGCAAAACATTTTATTAATTAATATTTCCAAAGTATTAGAGAAATAAAAATGCACTAAAATAACAAAATGCCAATAAAAGTCATCAGCTTCTTAAAGGCATTTAATCAGGCCTTCCAAAAAGAATATCCCAGTTGACCAATTATGTGTCCATTAAATGTTCAATACTATGCTAAATATTATAAGCCATTCCTTCCATAAAAATTATACAAGATGAATAGAGAGAAGAATGAGTGAAAGTGAGAGATGCTTGAGCTGACAGAAGTGAGGAATTTGGCACCTAACTCTTAACAAAATTATTTAGCTTTGTATGCAATTCCTCCCAAATTTCTTCCATACATAGATCAATTCCTCAGATACCTTAAGGGTCAATACAATGCAATTTGAATACCACTGGAGAGGGAGTAAGTTAATATTGGAACTGAGAATCAGAGTGATTGAGGATAGAAAAGAGTAACAAAATGTACAAGGCAAAGAAGAATGGAGTCTGTTTTGATGGAGAATACATGTATGAAACTTCACTCAATAGGACAGTACAGAACTACAAAAAAACATTAAAAGCTACCAGGAGGTTTTATGCTATTGGCAAAGGACTAGCTTTGCACATCTTAGGTAGAAAGTAGCATAAGATTAGGCCTGTTAAACTATTTGACTTAGGTTTCTGATAACCTCAATCTACTCAGGAAGATTTTACTCATCTCCCAAACTACTTCTCTGGAAGTGACAATGGCTAAGTTAGTTTTTTAAATATATAGTTAACTCAAGTTATGTCTTTGTTATGAAATATATACACAGTTAAAACACATTGCATATTTTCTATTAGAGACCATACAAAAAACCACAATGAAATGGAGAAAAATATATCCTATATGAGAAACACACTGAGTGTGGGAATGTATAATATATATAATTAAAACATGATCTTTCTCTTATTGTGGGCATCTTAAATTTAAAAATATTCAATATGTTGCTGAGCTTAATGATACTTCCAATTTATTTATTTCCTGTCAAATAAGCAGTGGAATTTACAGTCATGTATTTAATTTAAATTATAATTACTTTAAAAAATAAAACCATATGAGAGCTGAGTAATAATGCCAAATCTTAGAGATAAAATGAGCTTTCACTTATGACTGTGTTACAGGATGCTCAAGTTTACATCGCAGCTTCCCAACCGGGCTTCACCAAAGCCCAGGAAGGCTTTCCCATGGAAAAAGTTGATTCACTCTCCCGGGGTAGTAAATCTGGGTG